ACTGAAGGAAAGAGTATTTTTTCAGTTTTAGTAACATTAAAGTCTTGTGCTATTTTTATTTTTTAATCAACAAGTAAAAATCATATTTATGGTGTGTAACAATATTTTGATAAATGTATATAATGTGGAATGGCTACATCAAACTACTTAACGTGTATTAACACATTTTTTTTTGTGGTGAGAACACTTAATATCTACTTTCTTAGCAGTTTTCAAATATGCAATATATTGTTACTAACTGTAGTTACCATGATGTACAACAGATCTCTGGAATTTACTCCTTCTAACTGAAATTTTCTGTCATTTGACCAGTATCTCCCTACTCTCCTACCCTCCAGCCTCTGGTAACCACCATTTTATTATTTCTTTGGGTTCAAAAGTCTTATACTATTAATAGCTAAACTTATCTTTTGATTTCGTAAAGTTTAAGGCAGTCTACCTGTTTCCAAAATAAATGTAATTATATAAAATTTACAGTTCAATTTCCTTTAAAATATAAGACATAGGAATTTAAAGGAAAAAAATATATATATATTGCCATTCATTTTGTAACAAGCATTTACTGAATGCCTGAATGCCAGATACTGTGATAGGTATGAGAATTCAAAGATAACAGGGCTCCATTCTTCATGAAGCAGAGTTGAATGACAAAGCAGAGAATAAAGATGGGACAAGTTTTCTAAAGAGATGTATGTAAAGAAAGGAAGGAACTCACTCCAGGCATGGTGACTCACACCTGAAATCCCAACACTTTGGAAGGCCTACGTGGGCAGATCACTTGAGGTCAAGAGTTCAATACCAGCCTGGCCAACATGGTGAAAACCCGTCTCTACTAAATATACAAAGTAAGTTGGGTGTGGTGGCACACATCTGTAATTAATCCTAGTTACTTGAGAGGTTGAGGCTGGAGAACTGCTTGAAGCTGGGAGGTGGAGGTTGCAGTAAGCTGAGATCATGCCACTGCACTCTAGCCTGGGTGACAAGAGGGAAATCCATCTCAAAAAAAAAAAAAAAAGAAGAAAGAAAGAAAGAAAGAAAAAAGAAGAAAAGAAAAGAAAAAAAGAAAGAAAGAAAGAAAGGAGCTCAGTGAAAGGATCAGCCTAAGAAACCAAGGGAAACCTGACAGAAGAACCAACACTTGAACAAACTCTGAATTTCCTAGATGAAAGGAGAGGGTAGAAGAGGAATTCCACATAAATGGATAATAAGGACAAGCAAATAAGGCAGTAATATGAACCAGGATACACATGGAACCCTGAACATATCTGGCATATCCAGGATTGCTAGGAAATTCTTTTTTTTTTTTTTTTTTTTTTTTTAGATAGAGTTTTGCTCCTTTTGCCCAGGCTGGAGTACAATAGCCTGATCTTGGCTCACTGCAACCTCTGCCTCCCAGGTTCAAGTGATTCTTTTGCCTCAGCCTCCCGAGTATCGGGGATTTACAGGCATGCGCCACCATGTCCAGGTAATTCTGTATTTTTTAATAGATACGAGGTTTCACCATGTTTGCCAGCCTGGTCTCAAACTCCTGACTTTAGGGGATTCACCCACCTCTGCCTCCCAAAGTGTTGAGATTACAGGCGTGAGCCACCACACCCAGCCAGGAAATTCTTTATGGCTAAAGTAAAAGGTCGGTAGGGTCAACTATTGAGAGATAAAGCTGGAGAGATTGCTATGGTGAAGTAAAGAATTTAGCCTTGTGTCACAGTTGATAGGGAACCAACAGCATTTTTCAAACTGGGAGTTTTAGGAGATACAAAGACCATTCAAGGAAGGTGCCACAGGCAAAAGATGCTGAGGGCCTGAACTAAGGCAATGTCAGTGAGAATAAACAGAACAGCCTATATTTCATAGTCATTTCTGGAATCACATATTGAGGATCTGGCAGTAAGGGAAAAAGAAGCAGCAACAACGGCGCTCTGGCTTCTGGTGAGGGAACCTGAGTTATTCAACAAAGATATGGAATACAGGAAAAAGTACAGATTTGGGCAGGCAGGGGAGGGAGGAAAGTAGTGGAGGAAGAAGGGAGTAAAATGTTAAATTTAAGATAGCTGCAGGACAAAAAGAAAAATCTCTAGTGATGGCAATACTCAATATTTATATTCTTCACAATATATGAAATACTTTTACATACATTATCTTAGTTGACAGAACAACCCAATGAGAAAAGTATTTCATAAATAAAGGATACTAGGGTTCCAAAATAGTGACTTGTTGTAGGCCACACAGCTAGTAGGCTACTGGCTAGAACTGAAGAAGAAACATCAGACTTCAACCCAGTCTAATCTTCAAGAGCCACTCCAAGCCTATGGGTAAATCATAGCTAGTTTCCAATTGTCACTGATGTCTTAGGGTTTTGCTGCCTCTAGTTGCCTCAATTTTATGCAATCATTGCCAAGTCCAGAATTACCAAGTTCAGACTGGCACCCAGGGTAACTGCAATACTAAGAAAAAAAATATTTGGAACCAGTAAGCATCATGCAGTTAGAAAAAAAGCTTAGATCCTAGAGAACTGAAAGGTTTTTTTTAGCTCATCTAGGGGAGGAGCTCCCTGTGATAGTTTCCCTAGGCAACATCCACAAATGCATTATATTATAAAAGGGAACCGTGGGCTAATTGATTTGGGAAATCCTGGAAAACAATTAGATTGCTTTATTGTGCAATTCTACAGAGGTTTAATACTCTCATGCACACTAAAAATTTCTAGAGGTATAATTAAGAATGCAGTGTTCCCAAACATATTTGATCACTGAATAACCTCCAACTTTTTTTTAAGAGACCAGGTTTCACTTGTTGCACAAGCTGAAGTGAGAGCAGTAACGTGATCCTAGCTCACTGCAGCCTCAAACTCCTGAAATACCTGCCAACTTTATTTATTTAGAAAGCAACTCATAAGACTAGCATCCAACAGAATATACTTTGAAAATACTGCTCAATGAAAATATTTAATTAAGCAGCACACCAACAAATACAAATAAAAAATAAGTACCGATAGTACATTAATCTTGAGTGAATGCAGGAAAAATAGTGGTAAGAGTCTTATGGACTATTTAGGCAAAATTTCCTGCCCAATATACTGTTAACTTTGCAATATAACTTAGGCAGTAATATGAACCAGGGATATACATGCTTAAATCAGAAGAAATCTTAAATTGCTAAATGATGCACTTATTACAATTCTATTCATGCAAGTTATAATTTTAGAAATTTTAATTGCCTTCACTTGGAGGAGTAAAACCTTATTTTATATTATTAAAATAATTGTGTTTTATAACCTTCTGAACTTTCATCAAAGCTTCTTGGGTTCATTTGGAGGGGGAGGTTGGTTTTGTTTTTTTGAGACAGGGGCTTGCTCTATTTCTCAGGCTGAAGTACAGAGGCATGACCATGGCTTACTGCAGCCTCGACCTCCTGTGCTCAAGTATTCCTCCTGCCCAGGCTTTTGAGTAGCTGGGACTGTAAGTGCACACCACCACTCCCAGCTAATGTTTTTATTTTTATTTTTGTAGAGACAGGGTCTTGCCACGTTGCCCAGGCTAGTCTTGTACTCCTGGGCTCAAGCGATCCTCCCACCTCAGCCTTCCAAAGTGCTGAGACTACAGGCAAGAGCCCACACCTGGCCTTCTTGTTTTTATTTATAAATTGATAATGGCCTTAAGAATTTTTATAGCCTTTGAATCATTCTGAAAATCATTACAGGATCAGGTAAAAAAAAAAAAAATCCCATTAGTAGAGAAACCATTAGAAAGAAAAATTCCATATAACAAAACAGTTGTGTAAATGTCCCATTCTATCTAAAGTTAATAATAATGAATTCTTTATAAAGACTTTACATACTAAATGCTTCCTTTCTTGATTATCTTCTTAAGATACTCATCCTGTATTTCCAAAGACCTTAAATGATATGCTGTTTGAAGTCTGAAAGAGATTGCTAAGAGCTCTGTCATTCTGCCTAGTAATTAAAATTACCTTTTAACTCCCTTAGTCCTTTCTCAATGTAAACATTTCTACTTGAGAAATCAAACTGAGTTCCAAATGACTACTATGCAGTGCAGACCCGAGAAAATGTAGGGATGAGAGTTCCTCCAATTTACTGTTAATAAATTCAGACTTTCTATTCATTCCTTGATGTATTACAGACAGCCCATTTTATCATCTGCAAACTACAAATATGATTTCCAGTACTATATTTTCCGTAACAGAATTGTGATATTAAACAGAAGTTCTCTTTGATGAAACAAACATTCATTTGAAAGCTAAAGAAATAATAATGCTATTAATGCATGTCTTGTTTTGTCTTTACGATGCTAGTCCATTAAAGGTAGAGAGACTATCACTTTGAGCTACACTATTGAATTATAATTTATACAGACTAAGGTTTCTCTTTTCTTTAATTTCAGTGTATAATAGGAAAAGAAAACCCTTTCCTTTCAGTCAGTGCTTAATATTTTGAACTGTGATCAAATAGTCCATTTTTACTAAGATTATAGAAATTTATAGTTTCTAAAGTAATGATAAACAGTTAAATAGAGATAGTTGCAACTTGAGCTATGAAAATCAAGTAAACTAACCTTCCTCATTACTTTGGGCTTATCCTCACACTGGGTCCCTTATTCTAACACTGACTCCCTGAGTCTGCTGAGGTCCCCAAATGGAAACTGCAATGCATAAATCCAAGGTTGTTTTCAAATAATCAGCCATGTAAACAAAAGTAAAGGTACAAGACAAAAATATCTGACAACTGCTTTAAAATTCATGACAAAAAAACAAAAATAAAAAGTAACCAAAAAAAATTTTAAAAAACAACAAAAAATAAAATTCACTACTAAAACTGAAGAAAATATGCCATTCTTTTGCAGACTGATTTGCATTTGTTCTTAACTGGAAAAAGAAAATAGATACACTCATGTGCATGGGTACTCACATAATTTACAAATGAAGTAGCAAAAAAAATTCATCACACTTGAATATGTTATAAATCACAATAAGAGTTTTCTTACCTTCAAAAGTTCAAAATAATGGAGACAGTGGTAAACAGGAGCCAGAAGCAGCCTGGGTAAAACATATTGAACAGCTTCTTTGAAACCTTCACCTATTGACTAGAAAACAAAGTGATTTAATTTTTTTTTAAGTTTGCTTTTCAGACACTGTACATCTTGATTTAAAAATTACTATACCTGCAAATAAAGTGCTGCCCCAGGCTTCGATAACTGACTAAGGAAACGATCATGAAAACCAGGCCGCAAAATATCTCGAGCATACGATTCATATGGATCAAATGCCAGTTCCTTAGAAAATAAAGAAGGTAAAATATAAATAATCTACCACTACAAACACAGAAAGATTTAATTATGGGGCACAACTATGTGAGCACAATTATGTATTTCTTTGAAAGTCTCTACACAAAAATCATATGATTAATTATAATTTTAATAGAAGAGATCCCAATATTCTCAAGAGAGTAAATCAATTCTTTCTGATGAGTAACAGAATCCTTATATAACAGCTCCCATTAAAGGTTTCCAATAGAATATTATCAACAAACATGGCCGTAAGAGTGGGCAGACTTTTGGTTCTAGAAAACGAAGTTTAATTTGAACAACAAAGAATACAGATATGTACAACTAGGTAAAGTATAAACATTAGAATACTGAAGCCAGACTTTTTTTTTATAGTTCTTTCTCAGTGGTGGACATGTACTTTCGTATTCTGTAAACCAGAGGTAACAGTTCCTGTCATCTAAAATACATTGCTATAATTTCACAAAACAATTAAACAAAATCCAAACTGCCAAAAATTTTGCCACCATTAATATTACCAATCATTAATAAACTAAATTCTAATGGCTCAGTTAAAACGACTAGAATCTACTAGTTTTGAAGATTTCTGGGGAAAAAGAGAGTAGGTATCTTGATTTTAGCAGGAGAAACAGAGTCGCTCCTCTTCTATCTTGTGCTCTGTTCCTGGTATAAAACTATTATGAAAATGGTACTCTAGATTCTAGCATGAGCTCATTTCCATAAAGGGTAATTCTAGCAAGAGGAAGAGGACATCTAGTGGGAGCATAGTAGAAGGAGGTAGAAGGGAATAAAATAACAAAAGATGGTTATGAATTAATCAATCTTAATGTTGTTTTTTCAGATTGCTTTTTATTTTTTTTTCTTTGAGACAGCGTTTTGGTCTTAGTCTGACACCCAGACTAGAGTGCAGTGGTACAATCATGGCTCACTACAACCTCTACCTCCTGGGCTCAAGCAGTCCTCCCACCTCAGTCTCCTGAGTTGCTGGGACCACAGGGGCACACCACTGTGCCTGGTTAAATTTTGTGTATTGTAGGGACAGGGTTTCTGCCATGTTGACCAGGCTGGTCTTGATCTGCTGGACTCAAGTGATCCTCCTGCCTTGGCCTCCCACAAGTGCTGGGATTACAGACGTGAGCCACTGTGCCTGGCCTCAGATTGCTTTTTAAAGAATGATTGAATAGTAACACCACCAGATCAGAAATCAGAAAACATGAGTTCTGGTTGTTGCAAAATGCAATATGGCATGCAAACTTCTAAGTCCTACTGGATTCCTTGAGCTGGCTCCTAGCTGACTTCCCAATTTTAACTCCTTTAACTGCCTTCTTGACTAAAAATTGCCATCATGACAGCAGAAATTGCAATCTATTATGTTTTACAGAAATTGACAGTAAGGTTTCAAAAATAACAAGAGGAAGGAGTCAGGTATGAATACAGTGGATGGAAGAGAAGACCAAAAATGTGAAGAGATGCTTATAGTTTAGGTCTCTTCCAACTTAGAAATGATCATATAACCACAGATATGTTTGCCCTCCTCCCCTTTCAATAAGCCCTAATTTATTATATAATTTTTATAACTATACGTAAAGAAAAAGCTTCATAATGTGGCTTAAAAACATGGGTTTTAGAGTCATAGTTCCAATTCTACCCTACTATTTATTAGCTGTGTAACCTTTGACAAACTACTTACTTTCTCTAAGCCTGTTTCCCCATTGGAAATGTGAATAATTACTTCATTGGGTTGTTTACAGAACTAAATGAGATATAAGTAAAGTGCTTATAATAGTGTCTGGCACAGAGTAAGCACTGCATAAATGGTAGTAGCTAGTACTGTCATTTTGAAATAGCTAATCTCAAGAGAAAAAAAAAAATCAACAATTAACCACGAATCCAAACTCTCTTCACATAGTTTTATTCTTGAAAACAAATTTTTAGAATGGTAAGCAGTTCTAACAGTTGGTATGAGTTAACAGATGATTTTATGATAGCTTCACTGTTTAAAATGCAACAAGATTCATAGGAAAATATAAAATTTAATTGTCAATACACATAACTGACAGAAAAGTACAGAGAACAGCTTAACCTAACTATACCCACCATCAAACTCAAAAAAGCTCAACATTCTATAGTACCTGCCTCAGCTCTTTAGAAAAGAAATTATTACAATACAGATGTAATTGATTCCTCTGAGCTCCCTTTCATAAGCTCATCTCCTGCTGATCACCAGAGGTAGTCATTATCTTAAATTTGAATCTTATCCTTCTCATTTACATTTTTACATCATAATTGCATATGTATCAAGAAACAAAGCAATATAGTCTTGCATGCTTTCAAACTTCATATAAATATCATAATGTATACATTCTCCTATAAGTTGCTTTTTATACTCAAAATTGTTTTCAAGATTTATCCATTTTGATTTATATATTTCTTTCATTTTAAAACTGCATAATATTCTATCATGATATATATCAGTTTTTTCTAATCTGTTCTCCATTGATATATAACTGTTTCTTGTGTTTCATAATTATAAAAAATTATAACAAAATTTCTGTAATTAGCACTTGGTGGTATACAGGTACACCTCACTTTATTGCACTTCATTTTATTGTGCTTCACAGATACTGCTTTTTTTCTTTTTTATAAGTCAAAGATTTGTGGCAACCCTGTGTGAAGCAGGTCTATTGGCCCCATTTTTCCAATAGCATGTGCTGATTTTGTCTCTGTGTCATATTTTGGTAATTCTCAAAATATTTTAAACTTCTTCACCGTTATCTTACTGAGCCAGTGTTCACTTACCATTCTGAAAATCCTAGGGCCCTTAAGAATTATGCTAAATCTACTCTGCCTGTACCTATAAATGGAACAGCAAAGCCTGGATGATAATACAACTGTTTACAACATGGTTTACTGAATATTTTAAGCCCACTATTGAGACCAACTGCTCAGGAAAAAAAAAAATCCTTCAAAATATTGACATTGCACCTAGAAACCTAAGAGCTCTGATTGGGATATGCAAAGAGATTAAAGTTGTTTTCAAGTCTCTTAACACAATATCCAATCTGCAGCCCATGATCAAGAAATAATTTTGACCTTCAAGTTTTATTATTTCACAAATACATTTCATAAGGGTGTAACAGCCATAGATGGTGATTCCTCTGCTGTGTCTGGACAAAGTCGATTGAAAACCATCTGGAAGGATTCACCATTCTAGATGCCAGTAAGAACATTCATTATTCATGGAAAAGGTCAAAATATCCATATTAACAGGAGTTTGGAAGAAGTTGATTTCCAACTCTCATGGATGGCTTTGAGGAGTTCAAGTACTTTATGGTCTTATTTCTATAGTGAATGCAGCCTTTAAGAATATCATATATTCAATGGTCTGCAAGTGAGCACAGTAATGCTACCAATTTTTATGGGCTGATCTTTTATCCAACAACTATGATGAACTTGCCAACTAGTTCTAACACTATATACATTTTCCTGGGTTTGCTATATAATTACATTGACTAAAAATAGGACAACTTTGTCTTGTTTATTCCTTTTCTGTCTTTGTACTGGGTAGTACCTGCTATTAAAATGCTGAATAGAAGTGGTAATGGTGGTATTCTTTTCTAATTTCTCAGTTCGGCTGTAGTTTAACCATTATTATATCTCCTACAGACTTTTAGTAAATATCCTTTATTAGGTTAAGAAAGTTCCCTTCTATTCTTTGTTTGCCCAACATTTTAAAGAAATTCATTAATGAGGCCGGGCGTGATGGCTCATGCTTGTAATCCAAGCACTTTGGAGGCCAAGGCAGGCGGATCACCTGAGGTTGGGAGTTCATGCCCAGTCTGACCAACATGGTGAAACCCTGTCTTTAAAATAAATAAATAATAAAAATGTAAAAAAAGAAATTCATGAATGAATGTTTAATTTTATGAAACCCTTTTTCTTGAGCTTTTAACCTGCTAAAGTAGAAAACTACATTAAAACTTTTTTTTTTTAAAAGTCAAACCACTAAGAGTAAACATCATAAGATACATATTTGGTCAAATGTTTTATTGTATTATAAACTGAATTTTCATTGCCAGTTTTGATGATGTCTGAGAATGTCTCAATACTTTTTTCCTGTATTGTCCTTATCTAGTTTCGATAAAGTGCTCATACAATCCTGATTAAGTTACCCTTCATGTCTCTACTCATTGGAACAATTTGCAAAAGAGTAAGATTAACTGTTTCCTGAAGATTGGCAAAACTCATTGTCTAAAGCTGTTTTCTGTTGCTATAACTGAATACCTGAGACTGGGTAATTCATAAAGAAATTTATTTACCACACTTCTGGAGGCTGGAAGTTCTAGACAGGCAGCTGCATCTGGTGAGGGCCTTCTTGCTGATAGGGACTCTGCAGTCTCCTGAGGTTGTGCAGAGCATCACATGGCAAGGGGACTACAGCATGTCAACTCAGAGGTCTCTTCCTCTTTTTATAAAGACAGGTGTGCCATCATGGGGGCCCCACCCTGATGACCTTATCTAATCCTAACTACCTCCACACGCCCCACCTCCAATGAATATATAAATTTGGAGATTAAACTTCCAATACATAAAATATGGGGACACATTCAAACCACAGCATTCATAACACCTGGTGTACGCCTCAAGTCATTTGTTGAAATATACTTTTGTTGCATTCATTTTTTAATGGTTTTTTTTAACTCAGGACATTGATACTGCTCTTTAATATATTTTTAAGGGTTATTTCATTACAATTCTAAAACATTTTGAAGTGTATCTTGAATTCTGAGTTGTTTCTTCCACAGTAAATCCAACTCAGAATTCATTAATTCTGCTGTTACTTCCTTACATATTATTTTCTTAGGTGTACCCTGTTCTCTTTCGTAGTATTCTTCACAGTAATCCCAACTATTGGGGTGGCTGAGGCATGAGAATTGCTTGAACCTGGGAGGTGGAGGTTGCAGTGAGCCGAGACTGCACCTGGTATT